CCCTAGTCTGTAGGCTCGCAAGCCCTCATCAGATATGGAGGGGCGAGGGTGTGACAGCCCTCGCTAGCCACAGTGACGGCAGGCAAGAGCCATGACGCCCTCTTTGTGGCTTGTGAGGACGTAGAAAAAAAAAAGAAAGAAAAGAAAAGAAAATTAATAAATTAATAAAAAAATTAAAATATTATTGAAAATTGTTCATGTTAGAATCGGCCTTGCCACGTAAGATGGTTAGTGTCCACGTCGGCCATTTCCGGCTAATGATAGACTCAATTGACAAAACTTGAAAATGTTTATGACTCAATGGGTAAAATTAAAAAGTTTAATACTGAATTGGCAAAAATGTAATAAATGTATGACTTTTTGGACAATTTTCCCTATTTTTATCCAATCCTATCATTCGTCCACTAAACACTCAATATGATAGAATATTTAGTACAAGTTTATCTACTCCAATCCTATTCTGTCTGATTTTATCTTTTAGCGACTACAGGCAGCCAGCTAATTCCTTTCTTTTTATGGGATTAGGAAAATCTCAACACAAAAAATAACGATGTTGGCATAATTTTACGGCATCTTACTTCGTCAAAAGCGAAGATGCGCAAAAATCCAACTTGGCCCTCAATTCCACCCTAACCCTACATTAGCAAGGTACAACCTCCACAAAAAAGTAAAACAGCTTGATCAGCATGATCTAAATTATACATCATGGCGATTCTTTTAGGTAAGGACCCCGAGGGCTTAGAGAGAATAAGTATAATGATGTATTAGTACAAACAAACAAAGCAAGTTCGGTGCATTGGTGGTTGGTGATAAAACATAAAGTGGGAAGACTTTCCCCAAAGCATTTTGCAGAGCCAGTGAGAGAGAGAGAGAGAGAGAGAGAGAGAGAGAGAGAGAGAGAGAGAGAGAGAGCTTAGCTGAGATTACTGGACATTTAGGGCCATAAAAAACCACGTATCATGTGAAGCAACAGCGAAAAGTTAGCGTATAGACCGTATCTTTTCTCTTCCCCATGATAAAAGGCACTTGCTTTTTTGCAATATCTCACCTTAACATATATAAAAACCCTAAAAGGGTTAGCGGTTAACAGCACATATACATGCATGGGCAATAAGCTAAACGTTAAATGCCATATGGAAACCATTTACCAGTCGCTGAGTGGCATGACCCAGTACACTAACCCTTCCCTATAATTGATGCAGAGACTTGATTCGAGCACCCAAAAGATTTTCTAGTCCGTGCCTCAGTTGAAACTCAAGGCAAATTCTTTTGACTACCTAGGTGTCCGTTGACCCACCAATAGCTTTTCTTGAAAGACTCCCCCCAAAAGTGAAAAGAAATGTGGGGGGGGGGGGGGGGGGGGAGGGGGGTAAATGAACAGCGACACGCCAGTTGAACTGAACGGTACAATCCACTTATAGGGTTAAAGCTTAAAAGGCTCATTAAGTGGAGCGTTTGCTGTTGCGATAGTGCAGATACATCACTGACATTTGTAAAGCATATGATGCAGAGAAGGGGCTTGTAATCATTTTGACTGTCGAGAGATTTTCCCGTGAGAATGTGGCCGCAGACGAGGGAGAGTGTCATTATAACCTTACCCTCATGCAAACGAGAGCAACGAGGCTTTCGTGAATTTGGTTACGTCGCTTTTCATCCCTCTCTTCCTTTTTGGAGAGAGGATTACACGAACGCATTTGGTAAAGAGATTACCAGAAACAGTGCACACACCGAGCAGGATCCATGAAATTATTACCAGCAGGAGAGGGTAATGTGATTATGAGAGGAGGTAGCATCGGAAGAGCCAAAGATTCTTGTACTCTCTGTGAGACAGACATGTTGGGGTCGTCCTCCAACGAAATGATCACATATTCTTTTTAAAAAAATTAGAGCATATCTTTATCGGTTTTATCTATCATTGATCACGAGATAGTGAGGAATGGGTTGTTAAAAGCCCTCGAATCAGAGGTGAATAAAATCGTCGGTGTGAAATTCTTTTCGCACCATCTATGTACGTTAGAATTACTCGTCTTTTCCCTTTTCCTTCTTTCTCTTTGCCAAAAGACGAGTGGACGGAATTAAGCCATTGAAATTTTTTCTCTTTTAACCAGAGAGAGAGAGAGAGGGAGGGAGAGAGAGATTGGTTAAACATGGTTGGTGAGCGGTCAGCATTGGGGCCTCGTTGCCGACAAGAATTTCTGTCTCTCTCCCCCACTAAACTAGCAATTAGTACACATTGTTGAGGCTGATAATATATCTGAGACACGTTGTACTCACTCACTCACTACTCAATTCCTACCGCTTTTCTACGCGCATTATTACGACTCCCTTTGAAAGTAATGGACCAAACCCTCTCGTCCCTTTTTCTCTTTCTCCCACCTTTTCACTGTTCTCGTTGAGGTGCGTGTGTGTGGACGAAATCTCCATACACCATGTACAATTATGCAGGAGAAGCTGCTTTATCAGATGCAGCATAATGAGACGGAAATTATTATATTCTGGTCTGGATGGTTTTCCTAGAAAGGGCTCTCTCGTTTTGGTGTTTTACTCAGGAAAAAAGGGTCCCGAATCAACGGGTCATCTGGCTTTCCATATTTGGGCAGACTTCGGCTATATTGATCATGAATGAAAGTGAAAAAGAAGAGCAATCGAGGGGATCCCTTTCAATTCAATTCTATGCTCTCCAAGAACACAACCTCCTTGCTTCGAAATGATAGCAAATATATTTGATAATTGCAGCGTTTGGACCTTTCTTGCATAAACAACTTGCGGCGCTAATCGATTGCTATCCGGGTAGAGTCAAGAGGGTGATGTATATGCGGTCATTAAATCCAAAATAGCACAATCTTACTATTGGGTCGGCACCATTTGTGGGACGCCAATAGTGTTCATCATTACAAAACTATGGGGGTTAATTATTATTATTATTATTATTATTTTGCTTCTTGTTTCCCTATGTATAAACTCATGCTGAGGGACTAGCGATGGATAAAGACAAAGGCACGTAATATATCTACCAAATACCTTATTTAAATTTTCTCTCACTAATATAATTATAGCCATGTAGCTCCAAAATGTGGTGATTTAGTTCTACCTAAAGGACTATTATATACAAAGCTAGCTATATAAATATGCGGTACTGCAAAGAAGCTGTAGAGTGAAGAATTTTTAATAATATATAGGTGTGGTCGAGCATGATTTTCTCTTTGAACAATTAAGATCCCCCAAGGCATCACTAGCTAAGTCCAAACAAGTGCCATATAGTTCGATATATATATTGAGAGGCTTCACAGATTTTCACGAGCACTATATCAAAGTGAGGCTTTTGAGCTCATGGCCAGATCACATCACAAAACCATTAGATCATTTCCAAGGCTCTACACACATTCATGTCATGATAAGATCTAGTCAATTCGAAAAATTGATCTAGGGGGCAAACCTTGAATTTCCGGACGATAATCCTCAAAAGCTCCACATTAAAATATTAGTTTTACCTTCCTATGAAGGAGAATATGATGAACAGATGGAGCACTGACCTTGAATTCGTGATTGAACCTGTTCACCGCCTCGTGTCTAGAATGAATGCAACACCTTTTTCCCAAATTCAAATTTGATTTTTCCATTGGCAAATCCTTTAAACACTATAAAGATCATAACTAAATCGTACGATCAATCATATGTTTTTCCGTGAAAACAAGATTAGTACATCTCTCAAAAATCTTTTTTGCGCCATTAATTATCGCTTTGAAATTAATGAAGCTCTCAAAAGCGGTTTCCTTTATGTTTATATCCTCTCTTGAAAAATTTCGCAGAACCCTAGACCTGTCTTGAACGAAAGATGAACCAAACCAAACACCCCCCAACAACAGCAACAAAAAACTTTGAGAAAAGCTCGAGAAAATAGAAAAGAGAGAGAGAATTGGGTGTAGAATCGCTCTCAAACTGAAGCATCTTTCGAGTGTGTGGTGCTTCATGCCGACAAGACTCTCTTTTGTTGGGGTCCTCACAAGAACCCCCTTTCTCTCAATCATGGGTTAACCCCGTCGCCCAATGACTTTGCATGAACTCTCTCTCTCTCTCTCTCTCTCTCTCTCTCTCTCACGAGCCTTTAATGAGAATGTTTAAATGAGAAGTTACCCTCGTCTTAAAGTTGATTTGACAAGGAAAAAAGAAAGAAGAATTTATACTGTTCATCCACATTTGAAAAGGAAAGAGTAGGGTTTCAATGGGGAGATCGTAGGTAGATAATGATACTAATTTGTGCAGCAACTATTCAGATTTGTTGGACTCTTGCTCTCTGTCTCTCCCCGTGGCATGTAATCTCACTTGTTATAAGAGCTATAGTAGATGCAGCCAGATGACTATCTATACCTCTAAATCAAAGTTATTTATGTAGAGCCGAACAATCCATTCACTCTTGATTTTATGTGCGCTTACTTTTCCTTGTTTCGTATCACAGAAAAATCGATACATGTATCACGTTAAGATCTCGAGATCATCTTCATGATATTAACTCGAACAAACGAAGCATGTCTGTTGATACCATTATATGGTATGCATGAACAAAGGTTCATCGTCGCATAAGTTACTTCTTGAACTTGTAAGTATTATCCCGAGTGAAATATGACACCATATGGTATGGTCATGAGCAGTGAAGAAGCCAGAAATCTAAATAGAGGCGGGAATGGAGAGGAGAAATGTTCAACATATTCTTGGCTTAAAGCTTTGGTCAATATTTGTTATTGCCACATGTAAGAAAGAAATATCGCATAGTAGAATTACTAACACAAGTAAAAATACAAAGGATTTCTTTTTTCTGTTTTGGAATAACCTAGAAAATACTAAAGAATATTACTAAAATAATTCAAATATTAGTGGCGCCTCTTAAGTTTATTTATGAAATGTCATCTTTGTCAAAGACACCAAAAGTCATTTCTCGTCCTTATATCACATCTGAAATAAATAAAAAGAACTGAATTTACAGAGTGTAAAATACAATCAGATTAAGAAGAAAAATGTTTTCTATCTGATTATTAATATAATAGAGTAATTAGCGCAAAATTTTCTATAAATTTGTACACGACAAGGAAAAGTTAATGCTAAAATTAGCATGAAAAGAATCGGCCATATCACCATTTTTGGTCAAGAATTCTCTTCCTAGGACACATATAATCACATCATCACAGTTAAATAAGGAGGCTTAATTAGTTATCGGCATCGCATTCACAGGTCAGGGATGCAATGCCCGAAGTGTTGGTACCATATGAGTTCTCTCTCTCTCCCTCCGTGAAAACCAGAGCTCGGACAAAGACCGGCACTTCTTCATGGCGGGTCCCTTCGCTCTCTCCCACGGACCCAAAAACCAGGTGATATGGATGATGACGACGAGAGAGGAAAAACAGTTAGTGAGTGATTTTCCAGCTCGAAAAAGAGCCTCGCTGCTCTGTTGTGTCCTTGGGTCCTTCCAAGTGCAGTTGACCAAACGAACTTGGTTTCTTGCCCGAGTTAAGAATCACCCAAATCCTTGGATCCTCTTCTAATCATTGCATCCGACGACCTCCCCAGCTCAACAACCTCCTCTCATGGCGGTCTCTTCAGCGCGTCGACCACGATATCTTTGTCGAACGGCTTTGTCACCAGAAAAAAAGGGGAGTTGGGTTTTATCGGCATTCATAGTCATTCAGCTTAAATTCATCAGAATCTTTCATGACAACTTACAAGTGCTAACTAGGAACAGGGCTTTTGTAACCCTTCAAAGGCACAATGATGAGGCTTCGAGCATATGTTTTCAAATCCTTAACAACCTGTCTTTTGAACGGTAAGTAGTAGAATCCACTGTTTCTCAAGAGCGAGACGCTCCGATAGATCTTATTTGTAGTCAAAAAGATAATTAGCACGCGCTCTGCTCCTGCTCAATACCACAAACTCGGACGCGTCGGTACGTGGGAAACCGTCCCTTGTGCTTGTTTGCCTCAGGCTAGGAAAATAACAGAAGAAGATGCCACAAGCTCACAAGGCAACATTGAGCAGAGCAAAGACAATGGAAATAATTCACGCGCTGGAATCCGGAGTCCAATTCAAGAGCTCCATTGACTCTGGAATGGATTTTCAAACCAGGGTGAGACAGACATTTGCAGGCACGGCAAGATGCCTAAACGGGAATAAAATTGGTGAGCTCTCTTCATCTGTCCTGTGAAAGTGGTCAAGTGACATTGATGAGCCAGCTGAATCAGAGAGTCAAATTGGTGAGCTCTGGCGAATTCGCATGATCGCATGAATCGGGTGCAAAAATTGATGTGCCCCTAAGGTTGGATATTGAGGTGATCTTGCTACACGGCCATCCATTCTGGTGAACCGGGCAGCCGTGGCCCTGGGATCATAGTGTATCACAATCACAATTCAATGGGTACTTCACTCAAATTCCGACGAATCCAAATAGGGAAAACAATATTTTTACTCCAAAGGAGAGTTGAAGGACCGAATTACTCAAGGAACCACAAATTTACAAGAATCCCCATGTTCATCAAACCCTCAGAGCAGCATTCTCTGTTTTCACAGCATGAAGAGCCGAGAAATTTTTGTTCTGCAAGTGCAAGTACGATAGAAACTCCAAAATCAAAATCAGGGACAAGACTGAGCAACCACTTTCCATAATCTTTTCTTTGATGCAATATGAGAAATACAGAAGCTCAACTCAATACCCTATCAATGTCATTTTCTCCTCCCACTCAGCTGCCAGAACTTTTCTAGGTGAACAATTACACAGAAGAAAAAAGAGGTAGTGGAAAGAATTCAATAAATCCTACAATTTCAAGATTCTAAGGGGGTGTAACTAAAAAAAGGAAAGAAGAAAAATGTTACACAGATGATGCATCAACAAGAACCTCATTTAGCACATCATCCTCACCATTTGCCAATGCAAATAGCTCCGCGTCCTTATCTTCGTCGCTCGAGAAATCCCTCCTCTCGAGTTTGGAATGAGCGGCGATAAATATCAGCTTTTGAGCCCTCTCGATGCCTTCCCTCGAGTGCCCATGGGAGGACACCCATCTCAAGAAGGACGAATTGCATTTGAACCCGCAAGAAGTCGCGTGGAGAAATATTAGCCTAACCGCGACCTTCCCGAGCGACTTGAACTCGGTGAGGTGAGTTTCCCACACCAACCGACTGCTCTGAGGGTTGACGATCCTCATCTTTCCGGTGAGAGGATCGCGCTCCTTCATCTGCACCGCTTTCGCATATACCGGATCGAGCCCCATCGTCCTCCACTTCATGAGCTCCATTAAGGCAATGTGCGCCTCTTCCCTCGACACGAGCCGAGTTATGAGCTTATCCACATCCTTCTCTTGCTCAGGTGTCAAGCACTTGAATGGAGGGAGGTACTTTCCGCTGGTATCCCTAATCAAATACAGGGGGTCGAGAACGAATGCCGCAGCCCAGGCCGGGTGGTAGTTCTTGTCGAACCGTCTATCGATTATTTTCTCGATCAGTCCCTCCGCAATGTGGTACTTCGAGCACCAACCTTTCACTTTGGAACGGAGATCATTCCAGAGCGGGAGGCATTGCCCAATCAATGGCCTCTCCGTTTCAATCTCTCTTGCCATGCTCTTCACTAGCTTGATCAACGAGTGCATTGCCTCCACTTCATTCCAGAACCCCATTTCCTGAATCATCTCGGCCACTTCCCCTGCGACCGGCTCCTCCATGGACATCATCTTGTACGACTCATCCAACGAAACTAACTGCAACGCCCGAGACGAATTCAATATGTCTTCCAGCATTATATAAACAGGCCCAATGCCAAAGGTCAGATTTTCGTAACCCTGCGACGGGACTCTCAATAACCCGCCGTGGCCATACTCCTGCATCTGATACTTGTGGAAGCTTTTCCTAACTTGGCCGCTGTTGTTGATGAATTTAGCGAGCTTCAAGCAATTCTGGGTGACGTTCTTGAACAAAGGAAGCTCCCTGCTGAAGTCCTTGATCAAGCTACTCAATCCCTGCACCTGACAGCAAACATTGACCATCCACGGATTCTGATCCTCCAGATTCTGCAACGCCTTGGCCTTGAACCTATCGGCGACAATCCCGACGCACTGGTGAACCGCATTACCGCAAATCCCGTTCACCGTCTCCCACAGGACCTCCTCCGCATACTTAGAAGGCACCGAGCCACTAACGAACAGCGCCCGCCGATACACGCTCGTCCCATTAGGCAGATTAACAGTCAAATTCACTAAATTCTCCTCGCTAAACCCTCCATAATCCCGGTACCTCCACCCTTCCGACGCCACCTGAAAGAACATGGCGTCCTTGATCCTCACTTCCGACTCGACCTTGGCTTCCTCGTACTTGACGTCCAGCCTCGAACCCGTGAAGTCCCTCCTCGAGACCGCAGGCAAGCCCACCTGGCTGAGGAAAGCTCGGAACTTGGGTTGCTCGAAGCTCGAGAACGAGACCGACCCGCAAGACTCGTACACCCAATCCACCATGAGATCGAGGGCGGCGTCAATCTGGGTCTTGCTCAGGGTCGGGCTCGGCGAGGTCTTGGGGCTCTTGAGCTTCTTGACGCTGTCCTCCAACATGGCCAAGGCCCCGAAATCCTCCTTCCCACCTGACAAGACCAAATGCTGCTGCTGATGATGCTGATGGTGGTGCTGTTGCTGATGCTGATGATGAGGAGGGACCACAGTCGTCGTGGGGCTGTAGTCGGGGCAGAACCGGGTCGGATCCACTATCGCGAGCGGGGACACCTCGTAGGAGTGCACGGCGCGGGCGGAGGAGGAGCTGCTGCGCTTGCGGTGGCCGCCGCCGCCGCCGCCGCCGGAAGCGGCGGCCGAGGAGGACGGCTGCGGCGGGGTGACCACGGGGGTGCCGGAGGGGGAGATGGAGGAAATGGGCTTGGGGACGGAGGAGAAGTTGGGGCAGGTGCCGCGCTTGAGGTGCTCGGAGGCGGTCCGCGACGGGTTGGAGGCGGAGAAGACGGCCTCGCAGAGGGAGCACCGGAGCTTCACGGCCTTGGCGAGGCCGGTGTCGGCGTTGTGGACGAGCATGGGCTCGAGGTGCGCCCAGTACCACGCGCCCTTCCCCTTGATGGCCTTGGTCCGTACCATGACCAGCCCCTCGTAGCGCTTGTTCACCGCCTTGGCCGTCACCTCGTCCGCCGAGGCCGCCGACACCGGGACCGAGTCCACCTGTGACGCCGGCGGCGGCTGCGAGGTGTTAGTGGTGGCCGCCATTTAACCGAGCGGCCGGGCGGGGGTTGGGGCGGGGGGTCAGTCAGTCCGAGTCCCCCGGTCCTCCGCTCTCCTCTCTCCTTTTTCCTCGGGGTGGAGGATGGGGGTTCAAAGGAAAACAAATTCCCGGGGGTCTGTGTGAGGGCTCGCCGGGGGGGGGAGGGACGGGGAGGCTCAGAGGAGCGCGAGAGCTGGCATTTTTTTTTCCCTCGGTCGCCGGCGGTCGTCCATGGCCGGCTCCGGCGGGCGATCTTGGCGGGTGGGTCGTCAGGGACGGGTCAATTGAGCTGCTCCTCGACGGCAACAAGAAGAAGGAAGAAGAAGCAGCAGTAGTAGTCTCGCAGAGGAGGGAAGAGAGAGAGCTGAAGAAGAAGAAGAAGAAGCAGAAGCAGAGGGGGAGAGAGAGAGAAAGTAAGGCGACATGAGAGGGAGAGAGAGAAGGCGATGTACGAGGGAGAGGGAGAGGGAGAGAGTGATGTGTTGGGAGGGGCAGCAGAGGAGGAGCAGGGAGAGGGTGGGGAGGGGGGGAAGGAAGGAAATGCACGCGCGGGCGGGGGGGCGCGTGGGGGGAGGGGGATCATTGGACGTTTGATGGGGATGGCAAACAGGAGCAGCAGCGGGAGTCCCGTCCCCCCCTCTCCCCACGCCCCACGTACGAGACTCGCGCGACGTGAGACGGGGGGAGGGGGGGGGGGGCGGGAGCTTTTGTCACTCGCTTCATATATCTGGAAAGTGATAGTCACGCGCAATCAGTGGGGGAGAATTTCTGTTTTGACACTCCTTTCATGTTTTCTCCCCCCCCCCCCCTCCCTTTTCTTCCTCCCAAAATTAAAATAATTATTTATTTATTTATTTCTTCTGGGTCGGACAATAATTAATTAAAACATTAATTAATTTAGCATTTTCTTTTCGCGGGCGGGGTCTCTGTTGTTGTGGGTGAGACTTTTGTTTCTGTCCGGTCTTCCCAAAACCCCCCAATCTCATTTTTTCCCCCCACCCTTTTTTTTTCTCGCCACTTTTCGAATCGATTTTTATTGGACGGGGTCCTTTTCTCTCCTCTCTCTCTCTCTCTTTCCTCCTCCTCCTCCTCCTTATTATTGTCATTATTATTATTATTATTATTATTTTACTTTTTTCACAAAAATTTGGGGCCGATTCGCTTTTTCATGATTGCCGAGCTCTTGATTTTCTTTTTTCTTTTTTTTTTCCTTCTTTCTTTCCTTTCTCCCTCTCCTTGAATTTCCTAACGTGACTTGTTGTCGTCCGTGTGGGTGGCCTATTCATACGGGGGGGGGGAATATGGTGTTGACAAGACGGGAGAAGGGCAACCTAGGAAATCAAAAAACTTTGAACTACTGTTGTTGTCATTATTTATTTTATTATTAAACGTTTTTTTTTTCCTCTGGAGCAGCGCCAGTGTTGACCGAAACAGCAAAACAAAATTCCCCCCCAAACGAAAGAGTTCGGCCCCGTTATGCCATCCGTCTTCCGGGCCTGCCCTCCTTCTCGCACATGACCTTATTCCATCGTTTTAAAAATATAAAAAAAAAACAATAATTTTTTTTTAAAAATAAGAGAAAAAATAGAAAATCGAGGGGGGGGGCAGAGGGTATTTTAGGATTTAAATCCGACCTCCTCCTCCTCCTTCGCTACGGAGACGTGTTTTTCCTTTTTTATTAAATAAATTTTTTTTTGACGCACGCGCAATGCTCGCTCGCAAAGCGTTAATAAGACCGGAAGAGAATCTTGTCTCCTTTCGAATTTTCCCCCCCTCGCAACTAGGCCCGAAGCATTTTGCTTTGATACATCACATGAGGTGCTGACGGAAAACACGCCCCCCGCTCCTCTAATCATTCGTGACCACATGACTTAAGCTATAAGGCCCGAGTTGATTCGTATGCCGAGCTAAACAGATCGAAACGTCGAACCCCAAATCCAACCCCGAACAGGCGCGTCGAGCTGGACCCATTACGGATCGAGGCGAAGATGGCCATCCCGCCGTCGACTGCTGATGCTCGACGGGGCATCGCGAGGCTCTAGGTAAGCTTTCTCTACCGGTATCGCTCCGCGCCCTGCGACTCTGCCGGATCGAAAGTGACTGGTTTGCGACGCCGACGACACGACATCCTAGCGATTTCCGTCGCGGGCCCGTACGTACGCGACCGTTCGATCCTATGTTTCCATCATTTTTCTTTTCCCCCCTGTTTTTTTTTTTTGGGGGTGGGGGGAGAATTGGATTACATGAGCAATGGGAAAACGTGATAAAGCGTGTGAGACCATGCATACGTGAACATAGTTTAGAGGAGAAAAATGGGGGGGAGACACGAAAATGGGAATTGGGAACGACCCGTCGGATACGCGAGACTTTCCAATTTGCCAGCTAATATCAAACTGCCTCTCACTCACTTTTACAAAGGCTCCCCCTCCCCCTCTCGTTTACGTAGGGATAGTACAAAGCACCAAATTTCAGATGGCCTCTCTCTCTCTCTCTCTCTCTCTCTTTATTTTTTTTTTTAAAGTTTTGGGTCCCTTGATTATCATCGATAAAAGCTAACTAATCCAGATTGGGAAATTTGAGTTGGTGACAGTCCCTATGCATGGATGCGCGTACGTTTGGGAGCGCGCAATAAGAACCCGATACCTTTGCCGGAGGAGGAGGTCATCAAGAAGGGAGCCCAAGTTCGAACCCGTCAACATATCCAGTTGGATAAACTTTTATTCAAAAACTTAAGTCGATGAGTTATGAGCCAACTAGGATATATATTAATTGCTTCAGTAACATAACTCATACGCGCATCTCAACAATCTCCCCCTCATATGTGAGCTCAGTGTTAGGTTTGCTCTCCCTTGATCCATGTATTCTTCTGCATCAAGATGTCTCAACTTGAATCTCCATTAACGTCCATCGAGCTTGCAGTGCTACACCACAACGCCCACCACCCGAAACCAGATCCCTTCCTTAAGATATTCACCAAATACCAAAATAGATTGGAGAGCCCATCAATTTACCATTGGCTCTGATACCATTTATTGAGAGCGCGCAACAAAAGCCCAATATCTTCGCCAGGAGAGATCGCCAAGAGGAAGCCCAAATCCAAACCCGTCAACGTATCCAGTTAGACCCACTTTTACTCAAAAACTTAAGCCAATGAGTTATGAGCCAATTAGGATATATTAATTACTCTACACCACACCAATTCTCCAAAGTGAGACTCTTTTCTAGCGCAACTCACACATGCATTTCAACACATACTAAATATGTGTTTGTTTCACTAAAACTTTAAAAAAAAATTCAAGAAAAATAGTTAATTTTCATTTGTTTTGTGGTTTAGGGAAAGTGATTTCCTTCCTGCCTAAAAAGCGAAGTCATTTTCTCCCAATTTAAACTTATTATTTTCAATCCATGAAAAACGTTTTCCGTCATCCAAACACTGGAAAGTCGAATAACAAATTTTCCGGAAAACAGTCTTTCTTCAAACAAACGGGTGTTGCATTTAAAAGGTTAAACGAACAACGACAGTAAGGCATGCGCGAAGAAAATCCTCGTATGAAGGGAAAACAAAAAGATTTTTATGCAATAAGGTGATGATACTTACGGTGCTCCTGCGATATCACCAGCTCTATCGTGTCTCTTCGTTTTCATAAATTTATATGAACTTGATTGACAACTTTCAAGATTATGGATTTTGAACTTGAAGAGATCCAATAGCTGATGAAATCACGTTCACGTTAGTGTCATATGTCGGCAGTTCCTTGATCGAGGAATAGCTCGAGCGGCGCCTAACGAGTCGAGATGACATTAGGCCAGCCTTCATTCTATAGTTGTTCCAAAAAATAGTATGGCAAATAGCATCCTTGTATCGAATCTACCACGCCCAGTTTAACTTGGCATCAGTGCCTCAAGCGAGACGCACAGAACACTTTAGGCGCAACAATTGGTTTCGGCCTGCCATGGCCTCATTAGGAGAGCAACATCAGCTCCCGATCAGTTTGTGCACGAGAGGCTAACCCTGCTTTAAGAGCTCCTAGAGTTATAATCGTTCAATTTTAGAATTCCTAACACAAACGCCCTAATGCCACTCCTATAAACCAGTTGTTTCATCCCTCCTGCATCGCTCATTCTTCATCCCGACGTTTAAGGGTACGTGAGTACAGGAGAATCCCCACGTCACTTTGATCCGTGACATTAGGGTAACAGGTTTCATACATCGTTGATGATTGCATGTAAGCTTTTCTCATTCTTCGATATATTCGCCAAGAAAATCATAGCACGAGGCATATCTTTCTAAAGAGATGAGAGGTACGTCCACAGGAGTGGAAAGAAGAAAAGGAGTGGGATTAGCTTCTTTGCTCTTTTGCTCCAGCAGAAAATAGCATAGGAAATCGTTTGGGTAGATCTTAGAAGCAACATCGACAAATCAAAGGAAAGCTTTGCCCTTGTCCTTTTCGATTACTTTCATGCCCCCACACCCACACTAAGGGTTTTCTAGATTTCTTTTCTCTAATCCCATATTAAAGCACTTGCTTGAAAAAGTCCTTTGTCCGTTGTTGTTCTTTCTCTTTTCAACTGAACCAACAAACCCTAGAAAGAAAAAAAGAAAGAAAAAAAACTTCGCCACACATAAAATCACGACCATATAATATATGTGTTCGTATCTTTTTATAATTCCCCATCTTTGCGTCGGTTAATACAAAGGATCTGGGTGGTTTGCTTGACTAATTAGGGTTCCAACTAATTGATCTTTTTTCTATATCCTATTAAGTGGAGCACATAATGACGTTTATCACTAAAAAATATTGATACACAGACCGTGGCCACATCTTTTTAACACTTCCTATGTGTCCCATCCCTTAAAATATTTCGCCTCCGTTGCACCCCCATCAACCACACGTCACATTGCATAAATAAACTGAATCGAGAAGCCATTCCATTGGATGTTGAAGTATACTGTTAGAAAACTATAGTATTAGATGTGCAGTAGTGAATGGCTGATTTTATAATGTCGGGTGCACTAGTTTAGGAGATCTTGCTTTTTATCGATGGTATATATTTT